ATGCCAGGTCGTACAAATATTTCTCCCGGCCCGGGAATCGAACCTGGCACCTCTGCGTGGCAGTCCGGTATGGTAACCGTTCGACCACTGAGGCAGTTAATTTTACCTTGAAGTGTTTCGAAAGTGTACTTAATCATGAGATTCCGCGGCGGTGACTCGACAGAAACTGCGCGCTAAGGCCCTGGCAGTCCGATCAGTCAAAACTTTAAATCGCAAAGATGTGAGGGGCACTGCCACTGCGCCCGTCACCCTGTGACATAAGTTGACAAATCCTATGTGTCTGTAATTTCATCACCACCACTACACTAACAACGTCACTTCGAAAGTGAAGTCTCATCCAAACTAACCATTGGCGTGCCGCCAAGCAGAAATGCCAGCATTACTGTGTTCCGGTTTTGAAGGGTAAGGCTGCTGGTGAAATTACAGGCACATGGGACTTGTCAACTTATGTCTCAGGGTGACGAGCGCAGTGGCAGTGCCCCTCCGACCTTTGCCAAGCTCTGAGTAGCACAGCAACTGTTAAGAATTAGTACTAGTCTTTCGTTTTCGTAGATTTGTATAATTTTTTTAAAACAAAACATATTTACTTTTATTTTTAATTATTTCCTCAGGCCACAAAGTTGCCGAAGTTGCAGCTTCAAGAGGACAACTCACGCCCGCAAATCTTCTATGGATGGAATACCTACTGGTAGGAAAAGAACAGGAAGCGGACTCTCTATGGAAAGTATGGCTTAAGGACGCGAAGTCACTGTTCTTTCGCAGACTCCTACAAGAATGCCACGTTAGAAAACAGCCAGAATTGGTTGAAAAGCTTATCACACTATTGAAAACCAATCAAAAACTTTCCCCGGGTGCTCTAGGAAATGCTTACAACAGGTTAATAAACCTGCATTTGGCAGAGTCTAAAACGAAAGAAGCATTGGAAGTATTTGAAAGAGCTATTAAGTCTGGAGTATCTGTGAACCATTTAAACAAAAGTTGTGTAGAGAGACTCAGAGCTGTTGCACAGGCGGAAGGCAAAGATTTAAATATCCCTTTGGCTAGTTAAGGTAGCGCTTGGCATTTCCAAACTTGCAAAATTTTTCTAAAACTAACAAGTCCATGAAATAAATATCGTAATCATGTATTTTTTTTATTTTTCTGACAGCCATATTACTTGATAGTTCAGGGGCCTTACCACGAACTCTTATTACGATTCAGTTTAGGACCTAAAATGAATCGTTGTGAGACAGCGCTACATGAAATGTATATAACCATCCCGCTTTTTTGTCGTCACAAACCTATACTGAACTGTAATAAGAGTTCATGGTAAGGCCCCTGTTGTTAATATCATGTCTTAAAAAACGCTGAAAGCTAATATTAATTAATAAAAATAGACCATATCCTCTGTCACAGTATTTACGGTGTTCGATAAAGATTAAACTATGTTGGATCAGGTGAAATCCGACAACTTTGGTGAATATTACAAATATGTTTTTATTTTAGCGTTGTTAGCAATGAGTCATTTATTGTAGGACGTGTTTCTTGCATTTTGGTTGAATCTATCTTCTATGTAATGTTGTGTATTCTGTGTGCGCGCTATGTAAATGACAAAAGATACATTTTACTACGACGAAAATTATCTTTAAAAGATGTAGCAATGGCCTGCCATACCGTACTTGCATACTGTACCATTATGCAACGTAAATAAGTTTATGAAAAAATTTTAACTTTTACACCTACGATTTATATTATCACTTATTTAATCCAAAATATAGATTGTGCTGTACAAAAGTAGTGTACCATTTCTAAATTAATACGCGAGGGACAGCAGTCATTGGAAGTTTGAATTGTACTGATTAATGAATACCAATGTAGTTGCTAATTTTAGTGTCTAATAATAAATTATTAGTTAATAATTTGCTTTTTATTTATCTTAGTAATACGGTATACCTATGTTACCTGCGCTCGACATCAATAAATACTCATATTATTATTTAGTGTAGGTATTTACCCTATCAATGAATAAAAGGTTCTGAATCATGAATGCCCGAATTCGAATGGTACTCGTAATACCTATGTAAACAATACTCTTCTAGTACGGAGTCTACGGAAATCATTTTCATTTCTGTATTACTCTTTGGAAATCATGAAACTTTGGAGAGGGATTTTGAAGATTAATTTTAACTTCCCGCTTTTTAGAAGAGACTTCCGCATTGATAAATAGTCAAAACAGTACAAAATAATTAAATAACTTCGTCTTTGCAGCTCTGCGTGTAAAAATTTATTCGATTGTGAAACATGGTCTGAAAAGTAATTTAATATTTGATCCCTTTATCTATATAATAATTGAATATAATATAAAATAGGAAAAATATATTTTTTGTGAAATGACGTCATCACACTTTTACGCAAGAAGCTTTTATGAAAGGCGGCAAATTTGGCGTCATTTTGACAAATGGCTGAGTAGCTCTTTGAAAATTTGCTAGAAACTATTGAAAAAGTGACGTGAAAAATGTTCTATCCAGTGGAATCTTTGAAACGTGGTGGTAGATTTTATTTGTGTTGGGTTGCCGACTCGTGGCCGCTGAGATTTGCAGCAACGACTCATAAACAGTTGTGGTCACAGGACATTCGGAAATTATGGTAGAGTTAAAACAATTTCTCAATCAAAACGGGCGTAAAACTTACCGTGTTTGATTTAAAATGTTGCTTATTGACTATGCTGTCTATATTCTGTAATTTCCAGCAACGATCTGCTCGAAGTCATGACCAACGAGTCCGGCCGTCCCGCCCACCGATTCTCCCTCCGTCTAAGCTCTCAGCTAATGCGAGGGCTAGTTAGATTGTATGAAAGAAAAGCCACTATACTCCTAAGTACGTATGTTTCTTTCCGTTATTCATTTGCAATGAAGAAAAGCAAATAAAAGACTACAAATTGTATCTAAAATTGTATATTCTTAGGCGAAATGTGCATGATCAACGCTCATGTCTTCAAGCATGCTAACAAAAAGTAAGTAGGTAGTTATTTACTACTTTACGTTTACTAATTGTTTATATTTTAACCTAGTGTTACTAAGATTCTCTGTGGAACTTGTTAGGTTGAGTGCACATAAGACAGTGCCCCGCACTACGCCGGCACTCCCTTTGGTTTCGGCACCACTGGTCCCAGAGGAGCTTGAAAATGAGCAGAGAGTGGAGGAAATGATTCAGGTTAGCTCTACTTCTTAGTTTTCAGCATTAGCATGCAGGGTGTTTAGTAAGCTTACAAATTATTCCTCTACCAGAACCAGAACCAGAAAACAACTGTAGCTTGTGTAACAGAAAGTCATCTAAAATAATGGTTAAGTGAGTGAAGCACTTTACATTCTGGCATAGAATTGTTCTGAAATAGTTTTAGGGCTGATACATTAGTAATAATAATATTGTGGAGTAAATAATACACTTTGTACAATTATTCTGTGATCATATTATAATTCTAAGCTTGTTTGATAAAGAAATTTGATACATAAAGATTTGATAAGACAATCTTGGAAGAGACTGCTACATAGCAACAAGGCTGCAAGTTCTGTAAGTGAGAGGTAAAGGATTTAAGTCCATACTTTGGATTTAGACATTTTCACAAACATGCTTTAGAATGCCAAAAATCACGCCTTGGTACAAGACATTTAAGGCCTATTGTCATTTGTTTTTATTTTACATATTTTATTTGACCTTAACATTGATTTTAAATGCCTCATTAAGAGCCTCATTCTCTTTAAAACCCATGTAGTAAAAGTTACTATTTGGCATTTAAGGTTCTTTACTTCTCACCTATAGATATTATGGAGTAATTAATATACTTTGTACAATTATTCTGTGCTCATATTATAATTTTTAAACTTGTTTTATTACCTTTGAAAAGATTGCTACATAGCAAGAAGGCTGCCTCTTGTACCCTCCTAGACTTTAGTGTGTTTCTTCATTTTATCCTTGAATACAATAAATTTATATTCAGATTTTTCAATGTATTCCTCTAGTATAATATTCTAAACGTTTTAAAATAATATTGATTAATAATCCATTTTTATCATTAGAACAGTGGTAATGCCGTAACAAACATACAGGATATTACTCTAAAGGAAGCGGCTATACCTGAGTTTCAACTGCCACCAAATGTAAGTCAATTTATTTAAAATTCTAATGTTAATTTCTTATGAAGTATTTGTACAGGCTGTCAAAAAACATTACAATAATTAAGGGAGCTTACGCTATACCTTTTAATATTTAACTTACAAATAAGTTGTGACATCTGTAAAATTGCCCAAAAACATAGATTTTCGTTGACACCTCGTTATGGCGGCGGCGGCGGCTTGGCCGTAATAATAGTAACAATAATAAAATTAAGTGAATTATGTACTTATTATCTTTTAATTATTGTCATTAATACACTACTTTCCTATTTATATATTTGTTTCAGGAGGGGCCACTGGTATATTAATTTCATGTTTTACCCATTGCATTGCTAAAACGTAATTTACCTTATTGTTGTTGTAACATTGCTGGTACTGGCATATTGGAGCGTAATTATGGGTATTATCCACTTGCTAAACATATTGATATTGTTTTTGTGTACACATTATGTTGAGTAATTTATCGTTTTACTATCAAAATTGCAACGGGCTCAGAACAAAACTCAATGAGTTGTATTTAACTATTTTGGACAACCATTATGAAATTATTATTTTAACGGAGACTAATTTGAGTCTGGACATTTGGAACAATGAATTTATAGACGATAGGTATAACGTTTTTAGATGCAATAGGGATCCGCGGTGCAGTGCGAGTCAGTACCGGAGGTCGAGACGGTGACTGTGACGGTTGCGCTGTGCGGCCGAGGCCGCAGCCACGCCGCCCATGCTGCTACCGGTCCGCTCCCCGCCGCCGTTGGCGGGTGCGCACCACCCACCTGTGTTTCTACTGATCAGTTATTAATAACTGATCAGTAGAAACATAGGCTATGTTGCTACTATTAATAGTAGCAACATAGTAGCAACATATATACCTCCAAGCTCTACAAATGCGATATACATATGTCGATTATTTTGACAACCTTTGTGCCTTGTGTGACAAGTCGGCGCCTCCTGTCGTTTATGTCGTCGGAGACTTCAATCTTAAGGATATTTGTTGGGAACAACGGTCTAATAGCTCTCACCTTGAGCCTATAACCAGTAGTATTACAAGTATAACAACTCCTCTCTTAAATGCTATGTCATACTTAGATTTAAAACAATATAATAGATTTTAAATACTAACGATAGAATTCTGGACCTTTTACTCTGCAATGACAATATTTTAATAAACAGTGATGTTAGCCCTTTACTACCGTTAGATCAACATCATCCAGCTATACTTAGTTACTTAGTGATATGCTCTAACACGAGTTTACAGAAGTCACCCCGTACTAAGTATTTATTTGAAAGCACAAACTGTATTTTAATTAATAAAAAGATTTTATCTATTGGCTGGATGTCTATTCTAGAGTATGAAAGTGTAGACTCAGCTGTGGACATTTTTTATAGATATATGTATGGAATCTTTGCTGAACTTGTACCGAAAAAAGTTTTGAAATCATCATGTATTCCAGTGTGGTTTACTTTTGATTTAATTAAATTACACAAACTCAAGCATAAGGCATGGATCGCACATAAACGTAACATACAATGTAAATACCTTTATGCATTGTTTTCACTATATCGGAATAAATTTAAAGTTGCAGCTGCAGTCACATTTAAAAAATATATGTGTAACTTAGAATACAAAATAACTAATAATATTAAGAATTTTTGGAATTATGTATCAAGTAAAAAGACATATAAAAGCTCCTATCCTAATATCATGACATTTAATACTACCGCTAACGAACCTATTCAAATATGTTCCTTATTTGCATCTTTTTTTCAATTTGTGTATGAACCCGGTACTTTGAATTTCAGCACTTTTACAGAGTCTGCAAACATACCTACTGCTGACTATGCAAATAATATAGGAAATTTGTTTTTACTTCTTAAAGATATTGAGAAGGAACTTCTAAATTTAGATTGTCAAAAGGGAGCCGGCCCTGATCGTATTCACCCATATTTTCTAAAACACACTGCTAAATCAATTGCGCTTCCCTAGTACATTATAATGAATAAGAGTTTTGACCTAGGTGTATTTCCTACTGTCTGGAAAGTTGCGAATATCACTCCAGTATTTAAAGAGGGTAAAAGGTCTGATATAAGCAAAGATAATAAAGAATCGTTCAACAATTAGTAACCTTGCTTTATACAGTACATTTTTGTTTGAAACCTTAGATAGTGGTTCACAAATAGACGTAGTTTATACTGATTTTTAAAAAGCGTTTCACAAAGTTGACCACTTAACTTCTGGAAAAATTACAATACAATGGCATCAAGTGATGTTTACTTAGATGCTTCGCATCGTAATAGGCAACGAAAAATTGTGGTAAATGGTTATGAGTCGAATCTCTTCGCTGTATCATCTGGCGCGCCGCAAGCCTCGACATTGGGACCATTTTAATTTGTTTTATATATAAGCGATGTGATACAGTGTATCTGTAATTCAAACTTAATTATTTACGCAGATGATCTAAAAATATTTAAAGAAATCAGTTGTGAAGATGATTGTAAGTTGCTTCCAAAGGATTTGGAATCTTTACATAGCTATTGTGTTCGTAATAAACTACAGCTTAGTTTCTGGAAATGTAAAACTATTACATTTACAAAAAAACTTAATTCAATTAAGTATGTCTATTCAATTAATAATGTAAATTTACAGAAAGTAGACAGTATCAGACACCTCGGTGTTCTTTTAGATTCCTGCGGGTGCCATAGACACACATAGTCAATCACAAATTACACCCAAACTCACAAGAGAAATAAATATTCCTGCGGGTGCCATAGACACACATAGTCAATCACAAATTACACCCAAACTCACAAGAGAAATAAATGTAGGCCATACAAATATTTCTCCCAGCCCGGAAATCGAACCTGGAACATCTGCGTGGCAGTCTGTAGGCGGCAGAATGTAAAAGCAACTCGATTTTTAGATAAAAGAATAGACGATATTATTCATTGTCAGGACGGGTTTGGCGAAGAAACTTCCGAGCAAGTACTGCAGCAGCTCTTCGGCGACCGTACAGTGGAGATGATGCTGGCGCAGCGCGATGCCTCGGCCGTGCAGCACAGCGGTTTGGAGCAACTCGACGCGACAGAAAAGTCGCACGACAAAACGCGACTGGCGCCGCACGACGGGCCACAAATGGAGCGCCTGTCCGAACATGACGTCACAGTTTTTACGAAGTGTATGTAGTCATATACCCAACATCAATGTGCCAGACAATTTAAACTAGGTTATTCCCTGTGCTATAAGTACCAGAGAAACTAAATTAAAGAAAAACACCGTGGGCGCTACCAAGAACACCAGACCGGTCTGGACAGACCTTAACAGTGGACCCCGCACTAAGCTCTATTTAGCCCTGTATCATGTGAACCAGAATGTAGACAACTTATAAATAATCTTCTTGTCTTTATCCCATGCTAGGTGGCGTCGGCACAACATGTATGTTTCTTCCACTCTCTCCTATCAGCCGTCATTTCCATACTGACAGACGACATGGATAAGAAAGGTCACACAATCCATCCATCTTTTCTTTGGCCTTCATTTCCCCTTACATTTAACACATTACCACATTCATACCAAACACTTCACGTCACATGACATTCTTCCCTCTACATGACATGTCCATACCACGCTAACCTAGCACTCCTTAACTTTTCGGCCACTGGCGCCACTTTAGTCTAATCACGGTTTGGGATTATTTCCCCTCTTATGCTTAAGGGGGCGTTCGCCGATCGTAAATAGTGCCTGTGACCTGTCGCCTTTTCATCAAACCTGCACTTATCCTGTTAACGTCCCGGTCTATCTAAAATCTATCAGCGCAACAGTGGTGTAACCATACATTTATTTTTTTTCTGCGTTGTTACTTCAAATTAGACGCTTGTAGAAGCGCTGCAGAGGCGCGTCTGTGGCGCCACTACTATTTTTCATACAGTATTTAGAAGCGCAGCTGCAGCGCCACGATCGCGCCACTTTTGCAGACTAGACACAAACGCGCCACTGCAGCGCTTTTACAAGCATGTAATTTGAAGGCCTCCTTAATGATAGTAAAGTACATAATTATATTGCTAAAATTCATTTAGCAATATAATTATGTACTTCACTAATTTCATGTCCAAAAAATTTTTGTAATTGTGTATTGGTTATATGTCGTCGCCTTACTTTCTCAAACTCGTATCTTAAAGCACAAAGTTACTGAAATGCAAAAAATGGATTGTGTATACAAATTTTTGCAGGCTGATTTAAAAAAAAAAAAAAAAAAAAAAGGCTGATTTCACATCACATCTCCTTCATATTTACACACTGGCTTTAACCTATTCTTAAAGTAATGCATCCAAATTAACACCCTTGATAAGAAATTTAAAATAAACGGAAAGTTTTGCCATCTCCTGAATAATCGCTCTTTATGAGATACGAGTTTGAGAAAGTAAGGCATCGATATGACTGACATTCTACGTTATTGAATAATCTTGAAAACTCATTTCTAAAATCCTCCGTAGTTGTTTTTTATATAACACCAAGGGACGGGACGAACACTTCGTGCGCCTGGTGGTAAGCGACAAGCCTATCCATAACAGTTGCAGTGCCACTCAGAACTTTTAATCTCAAAGATCTTAGGGGCACTGTCACTGTGCCCGTCACCCTGAGACATAAGTTGAAAAGTTCCATATGTCTGTAATTTCAACAGCACCCGTACCTTTCAAAACCGGGACGCAGTAGTGCTCATATTACTGCTTGACGGCAGAAGTAAAGGCAGGGAAGTGAACTCTTCACGTGTCCTAGAGACACACGGTGCCCCTAATGAATTTGGTAAAATAAAGTAAATATATTTTTTAAATGGTGGATAAAACCAGCTACGCGTTAAAGATACCGTGTGGATCTAGGACGCTACGATGCCAACATCTTCAGAGACACATGTCTTTAGAATGCGTGATGAGTTAAGGTCTGGTGTCTGAGTTTGAGTTAAGGTGCTAAAATAAAAGTATTTTATTGTTAATTTAAGAACTATACATATATTTCTATGAAACATTGAATTTCTGCTTTACATTTCGTAGCCGTAGCAGAAGAAGTGGTGCCGGAAGGCGAAATTGAAAAAGGTATGATTTCACATTTTCAAATGTAGTTAATGTATTTTTTCTATTTCCTCGATATTACAACCGTAATATTCAACAGAGATCGCTGATATACCCGAAATCCCGCTTCCTGTCATGCCTGCTCCTTCAATCGAAATGTTAGTCCTAAACCCGAACCTTTGGTATACCTTTTTTCCTTTTTTTGTTATTTTTTTTATACAATTACGATTTAGTATGCACTAGTACTATTTTCTGAAGTCAAAGCTTCGGAGTCATTCCTGTTTTACGAAAACAGCCGAATTATTATTGAAAACCTCTTTTAAAACAGTGAAACCCTTATATCTAAATGGTTGCGGCCAACTACGGTCAACTTTTTATTGCAGCACCAAACAGATGAGGGAGAAAACTATTATGCCAAACAATACATCAGAATGAATGGGCTAACCATGCGATCTTCAAACTTCTCAAAACTCGAATAGCTCCGAGGATTACACTTTAGAAAGTGATATCGTAAGGTTTACAAAATTAGCTGAGACTATTTTAAGGGTAGGTAGAGTACCATAATTAATTTCGACAAAACCCTATTTCGACTGGACAGTACTTCGACTACACATTTTCGACGGAACACTACTTCGATAAATCACATGTTCGACAGGTCACTTAACCGGCAGAAAACTTCTTCGACAACACACGTATTCGATACGTCACTATTCCGACAGAACATGAAATATTTAATATAAATATTTGCTGTACTGAGAGACTACTCAGGGACCACTTCACTCTTGAGCGAAATATCTCATATTCCTAAATATGTCTGAGAAATAACTAGTTAAGCAGTTATTCGTCGGAATAGTGACCTGTCAAATACATGTGTTGTCAGTGTAGTGACCTATCGAATGTTTGTGTTGTCGAAGCAGTGTTCTGTCGGATTAGTGGCCTGTCGAACATGTGTTTTGTCGAAGTAGTGTTCCCTGGAATTAATGTATAGTGGAAGTATAGTCGAGTCGAAATAGTGTTTGTTGAAATTGTATATGACACTCGGGTGTATGTTCTGTATATTGTATGCATAAAATCTGATAAATTAGCTATAATTAGTACTGTTTTTTATGTAATTAGGAGAGTGTGGTTAATTTTAAACATATTTGTGTTCTAAATACAATTATTGTACATTTCTACTATAAACAAAATGTTTAATTGATATGTAAATAGGTACCTAATCGTTTATCTGTATGGATTTATACACATGTAAGGTCGACTACAGCTGAATATAATTAATTAAACAGTAAATATATCAATTACATAGCTTAGGTTAGGATAGAAAAGTACAAAATACGAACCTGAAACTAAATATCTCTGTGCTCCAACTTTTGGATAGTGACACGTTCACACTGTGTGGGAATTGCAAAGTAATAATTGGAATGCAGTCGTCTGCACGCTAAATGCATCATCATCATTAACTGAATAGGTCCCACTGTAAAGGCAAGCGAGAGACCCTTTATTGTTTCACATATTCACAGCACACAATTATGTAACATTGTACTTAAGCTAAAATATAAATTAACTGAGAATGTTTCTTCTCAAACGACATATATCTCGCCAGCCAAGAGGCTCTGCCGCCTCAGCCCGAGGAAGTTCAGGCTTCTCAAGCTGCGCCCGTGTCTCTTGAACAAGTAATAAATCAGCCTGACCAAAGAGATACCAAACATATTGAGCTAGAGGTGAGTGTATCTATTGCAATAGACAATTGTAGTTTAATATTTACGAGTACTAGGTACTCATAAACCAATTTCCAATTTAACCGTACACAAACAAGTTTTATACAAAGAAATGAGGGTGCGTGTTTACTCTGACCTTGTAAAAATATTCATTGTCATGATCATTTAAAAACCTGAAGTCTAAATAGGTAGGTACGTCCAATGGTTTTTTAATTAGATCTTGAATGTCGACTGTTGTGTTCGTCTAATAAATAAATAAATAAATAAATTCTTTCGCCACGTCCGGTAAACCAGAAACCGAAAGAACACGCAAAGTTTTGTAATTTATACTTTTGAAATTATGAGTACTTATGAGAATATCTTATACAATCTT